CTCTTGAGATGGTTCTGAACCATCCTGAGCTTCTGTATTCATAACCCACTTTAAACATGAAGCAGCAACACCTTGGGTGGGGGCAGAGAGAAATTAGACCTCTTAAGACTCAACCTCCGCTGGTTTTCCTTTCTGCTCTGTGGGGGATAATTCTTTCTCTCTGGTTTTGTGTAGAGGTGTCAAAACTACTCAAAAAAAAAACACCTTAAAAAGAACTAAAAATATCAAACACAAAGTGGTTCACAGTCTTCAAGACCTAAACTCAAGCAGATCAGATGCTGCTTCACAAGAAACTCACATGTCTTCTTTGGGGAAGGCAGAGAGACCTTGCAATATTTTTCAGTGCAAGCTCTTCCATAGGAGTTATTCTCATCAACAAGTCAGAGAACAGGCTCAGCAGCCTCCCTGTCTCACCAGCCCTTTAGATAGGCTCTCAAACTTCAAACCTTGCAGCATTCCAACACAGTGTCACAGAGTGTGAGGAGATAAGCATAACAGATAGGCAGAAAAAGTAGTACCTATCTTTCTCTGTACATGACAGCTCCTGAGAAAACTGTGAAAGACAAATTGACTTAGGAAACTGTCACAGAAACAACTGTCCTGGAGCAGATTTGGACCAATTCAGAAATACTCACTACAGGATTAGCATCCAACTGATGAAATAACCTAGAGCAAACAAAGCACCTTGAAAGAGCACTGAGTACAGCCTCATCCATCAGCTCCAGAGAAATTCACACCTTCCTTTTGCAGTTCTGATACCATGGAAAGTCCTTAACAGGAAGACACAAAGCTGGATCCATCACTAACACCACCAGTCCTACACCAGTCAAGGACTAGAATAGGCCACAGATGAGAACTAATAAAATCAAATATTTTGGCCAAACAACTACTACATATGTTCAGCTACTAATTCTTGTTATACCTCCACTCAGAGAGGTTAAGCTTAAAGAGAAGGTCTACAAGGAATGGCTTGAGTGAGGAGGAACAACACCTTTCCCTGATTTTGGGGGCTCAAAGGAAAAGGTTTTGGGTTCAAATTATTTTAAAAGCACCAACCAGATCACAAATCCAGAGCACCAGTTAACAATTACAGCCTTCAAGGCCTTATTTCGGTGGTATCTTTAGTCACTTTTGGTTTCTGAGCATTACAGAGTGACACTTTCATAATTCTCTTTGGAGCTGTTACTGGGAACATTGTGATATTTAAATTTCAGTTAAGATTCTCACCCAGTGAGAAGAAACTGGGAGCTGGTGCTTTGAGAAAAGCCAAAAGAGTGGAAGGAAAACAACCCAGGAGTGATAAAGCTGCAAGGGTTAACAGTGATGACAGTGTTTCCCAGACTGAACTGCATTCTGCTTCCCTTCCCTGTACCAGTGGAACAGTATAAAATCAGGGAAGATTAACTCTTCCAGTATTGGGTTGTGGTAAGAGTTAGCTGATTGAGCAGTGGATAGCACCAAGAGGGATCTGGCACTGTTTCTTCAGCAAAGAGAGCAGATTTTGCTCTTCTGGCACATTCTGTACACGACAGCAGACAGGTATGAGCCCAAGGGGCAGAATTCAGCCCTGGAGTTCACCAGTACACCCAATCCAACAGTCAGAAATCTCCCAGTTCTGAGCCCAACTCTATCCCAAATGTTTTTCTTCTCAAACTGTGCCAAACCAGAGCAGTTAAAAACCCCAAAAGCAAGTCTAGTATTGTGCCCAGCAATAACAAAACTGTGCCTGGAACCAATAACACAGCCCTATGTTGACGGTTGTATCAGTCAGTATCTGACACAGAGCTGTTTAGGAGCAGCAGCAAAATCCTATCCTTAACACTTGGCAGGTAAGTGAAGTGATTTTCAAACTGCCAAACACACATGTGAACTGAACAGCTTCTTTTGATGGATTTTTAATGGTGTGTGCTTTGGTTTTTATTGTCTGGAGCTTAGATACTTTTTTGCGAGGTTTGTTTTAAAATGCAAATATATATGTAAATTTTGAGCCTACACAGATTATGTTGGGACTTTAAAAAGTTCTTTGAGAGTGTATTTTGTACACA